TCTGTAAAGTCATCAAGTGTGGATATAAAAATAGAAATGGAGTTTGAAGAGAACGTTCCTGATGCAACATCTGCATATTGTTTAATTTTGCATGATAAAATTGTAACGTACACACCATTGACGGGATTAGTCAAAACAGTGTTGTAAATGAGTTTCACCACAACCACCAGTCGGCTATAAAAGGAGGAGCTTCGCACACCACCAATCAGTCTTTGCTCGTTCGTTGAATGGGTAACATCCTACACTACATCATGAGTAAAATGAGTTCTCCATCAGTCGTACAAAAGGATGCAGAGGAAGCAGCATTATTGGATCAAGAAAACCATCAAGAAATCGTCAATGAAATAGAAGAGTTTTTAAAGTTTCGAAAACAAGAAGACAAAGAAAACAAGGAGGACAAGGAAGAAAAAGAAGAAAAAACTAAAAAAAATGGCACTAAAAGGAAGCGGAAAGATGAAGATACAATCCCAATTAATATTTTGAAAGAAGTTTTCCTACGCATTTACTATCCTATCTCACTATGTTTGGGTAAAAGTGTAACAGCTGGACTAATGAAATCTTCGGAATATACACCTACAGTAATCTTGCAGCATGGTACAAAAATGGTTATATTTTCTGAAACGGCATGGGAATCTTTTCTAAAACATTTAAATCTAATTGAATGTTACTTAAATACTAATGTTTGCGGAAGGAAAACTAATATTCGACTTTTGGATTCTGACAATGAAATTGACATAGTAAAGAATCGTGGAACACTACAAGTACGATTTAGAGATTTAACTCAACATGAAAGTAAAATTTTACTCTCACGTGAAGAATTCTACATTTTAATGCATGCAACGTCTCCTATCTCTAGATATATGAAACAACTTGTATTCTCAAGTTCAATCATCAAGGAGTATTTAATTGATACACTGGAAAAACAACCGGAAAGCACCATATTATACGGACACGTGGATACATCTATTTTTAATAGATTGCCTCATGAAGTTGGTATGTGGAGACAGTTAAGGAACTTCGAATCAATTGATGAAGAAGCGATAGAAGCTGTTGAAGAATATGAAACTATAAACCAAGAAGAACCAGCAACCCAAGAAGTGTAATTAAAGAAAAACAGTATAAAAGAGTGACCAAGGCGCGGTGTGAATTCAGTTGAACACTATACGTGGTGGTGTGTAGATAGGGTTAAACATTATGGATATAAAACCCTGTGTAATAGAATTTCAAGCATTTCGTGATAACAAAGATGAATTTGTGATAAAAGAATTAGTGATTTTAGATTTGATTACACATGTCGTATACCCGTTTATATTTGAAGCTCCATTTTCAGTAAACCAATTGAATGACAAAGCAAGAAGAACAAACAAATGGATAACCAAACATTTTCACCATATTCAGTGGAACAAAGGATTGATAAGTTATAAGCACTTGAACAATATCATGTATCATTTTTCTAACAAGTTTTCCCATATTTATACAAGAGGATCGGAAAAAAGACAATGGATACAACAATACACATATCACGATGTTTTCGACATAAGAATGGACAAGGATCATCAAATTAATTATGGACCTATTTGTACTTTAACAGATCACTCTTATCGCACAGTAACACAATGTGCACTAAAAAACGCATACCGATTAGCTAATTTTCTAGTTCTTCACTATTGGGACAAAAATAAATTCAAACAGCAACAGTGGAAGTATTACGAAGGAAATAGCAGTGGAGGGGGGAACGTGTGCTATAAATACAGTGGACAGTCTCAGGATTCTCATCAGTATTACTCCAGACATCGCAGAGGCAACATCTCACAGGGTAGTCCTAATCAAGAAAATGGCTTCACAACAGTTTCTCCAGTCTTTGGTGGATCAGTTCAACACCCAGTCCAAATCCAGCATTCTAAGTACTAAGAAATGTCACGAATTGAAGGAACACAAACACTACATCGTTCACGAGCTGAAGAAGACAGAAACTTCACATGGAGACGCAATTTTAGCATCACTGAGCGAGGCACCGTTTTCACCAGGTGATGAACCGAAATTTCAAGTTTATCTTCCAAGACGATTTGTGCAGCAACTACAAAACGAAGACCTGCGAGGTATTCAACCAGGATCCCTCTATTTGGTATCACACGGAGTTTGCGGAAACAATTCCACTGAACTATCTCTACACATCACCCATCAATGTTAGTTTTAAGTTTTTTTCTGTAAATAACCATCTATGTACATATGTTTGTTACATGTTTTTGTCATTAAAAAAATAAATAAAAAAATTAAAAGAGGAAACAACATATCAGCATATAATTAATTCTATATGCTGATATGTTGTTTCTTTTTTTAAAATTCAAACAAATGACCTTGAACTTTTTACTATAAATAACAGGTCTTACACGCAGTTGCTCTCAGTCTTGTTTCAACAATTCACCGAGCATCATGTCACAGCGTAAATACAATTTACCTTTTGTTTACAAATCCAAATACGATTTGGATAACTATTGTTGTAATTTAAAATGTTTTAGAAAGCCTGAAAGTAAAGTTGATGGAAAAGCTTGTAAAAAATGTGAGTCTGTTGGCTATTGCAAATGTAGGTGTAAAACATATCAAGACAAGCATCAAAATTACATACACGATCTAACACAAATGGTTAACCTACTATGGAAAAATGTAGACTAACTTGTGGCAGATGCATGAGAGCTGCTGACTCTTGCACTATAAATAGCAGCTCACAACACATTGCTTTTCATTCTTGTTTTAGAATTCAGTCGAGCAACATGTCACAGTGTAATTCCAATTCATCTTTTGATCACAAATCGGAATACGATTTAAAATACTATTGTTGTAATCTTAAGTGTTTCAAAACACCTGAATGTCAAGTAGATGGAATGGCTTGTAAAAAATGTGAATCTTTCTCCTATTGTCAATGTAATTGTAAAACCTATCAAGAAAAACTGAAACATCACTCACAAGACAAGGGACGTAGAATCAAAATACTTTTAAAACGGATGGAATGATGCCCTCATGATGCTCTCCCCCACCTCTACTACTTTCCCCCACCCCTACTGCTTTAGCTCCGCCCACTTCGTCAGGGACCTGCACTTCTTTACACGCAACAGTCACTTCGCATCCAGCTCTTCACCAGTCAACTCAACCTTTCTCGTTTACTTTGCACAAGATGGCCAACCTACAACAACAACAACAGTGGACAAGCGATATTGAAGACTCTGACCTACACCAAGCATGCATCGAAGCAGAAGAGCAAGAGCGAAAACGAAAGGAAGAAAAACTACTTCAACTGCTAGAGGAGGAGAAAGAGATTCGCCGCAAATTTGATCGTGTTTGGTGCGCTCAGCCTCGAGACAACATCGAATGGGCCGAGCACAATGCAGACATGGCAAGATGGAAAGAGCTCCATAATACAATAGAGGAGTTGAAGAAGTAAACATCCAAGTACACAAGCGTCGCCGAACTACACAAAACGGCCTTTATAAAGGCCACCAATAAACTCATTCGTTTTACACTTTAGCAGACGCTCACTCTAGATACGTACGTTCGCACATGTTTTCCTTATTAATTGTAATAGTATGTAAGTTATTGTCATCCCTAATGTTTTATACAAATAAACAATAAACAAAACAAGGAAGCTATCCTACACTACAAGTGTAGAATAGCTTCCTTTTTTTAAAACACAAACCTATGACCTTGAAAACCATATGATCACCCTCATACACCCCCCCCCCCAATTACACATCACCTATGACGTCACAAAGTGACGTAGCACCGGAAGCAACCATTTCCGCCTGATGGGCTTTAAACTCAATTAATTCACCCCATCAGCCCTGACAGGTGGGTGTGATAGGAGTGACCTTTGGCTACTACTAACGACACGTTCAACAAGGGTATGCTGATGAACGCTGGTTTCCTTACGGCCCTTAAGCTGACGCCCGAGCCTGGAGTCGATGTTTAGTGTGTCACTGTTTGTTACAGACGGGTAACGACACGTTCAACAAGGGTATGCTGATGAACGCTGGTTTCCTTACGGCCCTTAAGCTGACGCCCGAGCCTGGAGTCGATGTTTAGTGTGTCACTGTTTGTTACAGACGGGTAACGAAATGTTCAACAAGGGTATGCTGATAAACGCTGGTTTCCTTACGGCCCTTAAGCTGACGCCCGAGCCTGGAGTCGATGTTTAGTGTGTCACTGTTTGTTACAGACGGGTAACGAAACGTTCAACAAGGGTATGCTGATGAACGCTGGTTTCCTTACGGCCCTTAAGCTGACGCCCGAGCCTGGAGTCGATGTTTAGTGTGTCACTGTTTGTTACAGACGGGTAACGACACGTTCAACAAGGGTATGCTGATGAACGCTGGTTTCCTTACGGCCCTTAAGCTGACGCCCGAGCCTGGAGTCGATGTTTAGTGTGTCACTGTTTGTTACAGACGGGTAACGAAAGTTCAACAAGGGTATGCTGATGAACGCTGGTTTCCTTACGGCACTTAAGCTGACGCCCGAGCCTGGAGTCGATGTTTAGTGTGTCACTGTTTGTTACAGACGGGTAACGAAACGTTCAACAAGGGTATGCTGATGAACGCTGGTTTCCTTACGGCACTTAAGCTGACGCCCGAGCCTGGAGTCGATGTTTAGTGTGTCACTGTTTGTTACAGACGGGTAACGACACGTTCAACAAGGGTATGCTGATGAACGCTGGGTTCCTTACGGCCCTCAAGCTGACGCCTGAGCCTGGAGTCGATGTTTAGTCTGTTACTGTGTGTTACAGACGGGTAACGACACGTTCAACAAGGGTATGCTGATGAACGCTGGGTTCCTTACGGCCCTCAAGCTGACGCCCGAGCCTGGAGTCGATGTTTAGTGTGTTACTGTGTGTTACAGACGGGTAACGACACGTTCAACAAGGGTATCCTGATGAACGCTGGGTTCCTTACGGCCCTCAAGCTGACGCCCGAGCCTGGAGTCGATGTTTAGTGTGTCACTGTGTGTTACAGACGGGTAACGACACGTTCAACAAGGGTATGCTGATGAACGCTGGGTTCCTTACGGCCCTCAAGCTGATGCCCGAGCCTGGAGTCATGTTTCACTGTTTCGTGTTCCACGACGTCGACATGTTGCCTGAGGACGACCGCAACATGTACAGTTGTCCGGTCCAGCCTAGACACATGTCCGTCGCTGTCAACGAGCTCGACTACAAGTACGTGACACAGTCAATTGTAGGATATCGATTAAGTAATCAAATATTTAATTTTTAGGCTAAAAACGTTTATCACAATAAAATACTTTGGAATATTAAGGTTTTTCCTTTATTATTTAAGCTTTCAAGAATTAAGCTAAATATTCAATATCAACGTTTTTCAGCCTATAAATCATTTTTTTTATGATTCAACTTGCTTCGTTAACGAAACAAGGGGACAAGGTTGGTCAAAGTGAATGTTTTATTTATTTTAAGGCCTGCACTGTCAGTGAATCTGTACACATAAATACATTTTAAATTTTGTATGCAAGTGCAGGTGAAAAGTTTATTTTTCATTTACAATTTACATTTAAATATTTTAAAATAGATGATTGTTAGATAAAAGTAACCCTTGGGCTCCATAATGTGGTGAAATTCAGAAGGGGAGTAGAGAAGATTGACAAACGAACATGGATTGCTGGAGCCTTGAAATCCGGAAGCTCGTTATTTTATTTGCTCACGACGATTCGTGATTTTAGTGCTTATTATAACAAAACAGAGCAGTGTTCTTTGTTGAATAATTGCAAACAGCATATACTTCTATTTTATTCGGCTTAGAAATGAGTTTTTATTATGACTATTCTGGCTTATAAAAGCAATGCAGATACAGCAGTACAAAGATACACAGATATGAATGACATAGATTGAGCACAACGTCATCATTGACCTACTGCAATTAAACTAACCATCCTTTTATGAAATCTAAAAAGTTGTTTGGCGTGTGTTTAGTTCTGGTTACGTTTGGAGGCGCTTAATATTTTATAGTTTAAATAAATGAATATGGGGAATTACGGTGTACATTTATTCAATGAGGGTGGTTTAATTATTAAGGATATTAGAACTGATAACGGAATGGATAATAAACATAGACAATTAATTACGTCACTAGCTTTACTAGCGTGTTTTACGTTTTAAATTCCTTCAACATGTGACCAGTTCTTTTGATCAAATGAATACTAGGCGTACGCTCATTCTTCCCGTATTGAGACGAAACGAAGACAGTGAATATAAGGCTGCGCTGGTAAGGGCAACCAGAATACACATTGTACCCTAGTTGTTACCACACATAAAAATTATACTGGATCTAGCAGGCATGGATCGGATCAGCATGGATGCCCAGTGTCTTGCAGAGCAGATCATTTTGAAAATACCAGAGGTCTTGGCGCGGATTTGGTTAATGTCAGGCCCAAACTCATATGGCGAGTCATAATAAGAATGTAGTAAATATTCAATATCCAGAGAATTTTGTTTGATGCTAAAATTTTCATCTTATTCTTGGTGGGATTCACCATTATCTTTGGTCAAGTCTTAGCTGAGCTGATACATCATTAAGAGCCTTTAGCAAGGACTCAAAGTCATGGAGGGGAGCAACCTTCCACAAACAGCTTTTATGTAATCAGCAAACTAAAGAAAATTGGTCTTGATAACTCTCTTGGTATCTTTATAGAATGTGTAGAACTGAATTGAAAGTATCTGAATTTTGTTGGATGTTTTCATGATAAATATGCAACAAATCCATATTTACCCCACAAAACCACATGAAAACCAGTTCACATGATCTAATCAAGACAGTTAGTAAAACTCAACCTACTGAGGTAGTGTTTATTGTATAGTATTAAACCAAATTACAATAATAGAGTTATCAAGATCCCATGTCAACTCCTCTTTATTATCTTTAGTGAAAAGGACTCAAAACTATGGTGTACATTCTCATGGGAAATCTGTATTGACAATATTCTCTCTAACCCTTTATCACAAAATAAATGACGTCAATAAGTATTTGTTTTGTTTGTTTTTTAGCTACAGTATTTTAAAAAGTTTCTGTTATTATGTGGAATTAGGAGGTTTTCAGAGTAAAAATCCAAAAACACCCATATTTGCACCACAGCCCTCTATGAAAGGGAATACAAGATACTATATGCTACTTAGTGTGTTTTTAAGCTATTTTACCTTTGCAATGGAATTTTGAAGTTTTCAGAGTATAAAATTGTATAAAATCATATTTTACACCATACATCTGTAAAAGTCTTTTTCATAGTCTGACTAGAAAGACTTGTTACACTCGTCATATTATGGATATGTGTTCACTCTCTTACCTCCAATTATAACAAAAGTGGCCACTTTAATATCATGGGATACTATTTTTACCGATACATACGTAATCCTTTATCAAGGAATAACATATGTGATATACTACAGTATAACCCCGGTTAACCGAATAAAAGGGGAGTGCTGTTTCGGATAACCAATTTTTCGGTTAACCCATCATATACTAAAAATAACCAATGTGTTCCCACAGTGTGTAGAAAAAATTATTTTAAGACAATGACTACCTATATAACCATTGCCTATATACTCAATGATATATAACCCATTGTTTTATTTAAGCTAAAACAATGTTACAATGGGTTAGAAAACACTTTAAGCTAAACAACTGAAGTTATTAAAGCATTTTACAGCCCTGTACTATTTTATGGAACCATTTCAGTTGTTCCGGGTATCGGTTAACCCGAATTCGATTAACAGGGTTCTACTGTACTATGTTCATATTTTAAAAGCTCCTTTGAAACAGATCCACTAAACCCATGTCATTTTTAGGTTTTCAAAAATGAACGTTACTGTTAGAAGATGAGTGAAATGGATAATGAAAAATATTGTTCGTAACCTCCTGTATATTGTCGGGTCAGGTAAAATCTTGTACGTTACACGTTACGCAAGAGCGTGTTTACATCACTTAAGGTAAATTATGCAACTCGCTTCCGCTCGTTGCACAACATTCACCTGCGTGATGTAAAAACGCTCTTACTACACTTGTAAGGTAAATAGCTATTACGCTACTTCAGTTTAAATACTAAAGAGATGTGTCCTAAATACTACAACCCCTATCCATGAAATGAAAGAAATAACATTAATCTCGTATAATTTAATGTTCCAGGCTTCCATATCGACAGCTTGTGGGAGGAGTGTTTGCTATAAAAACTGAACATTTCTTCAAAGTGAATGGTTACTCCAACTTGTATTGGGGCTGGGGAGGCGAGGACGACGATATGGGTTACAGGTTAGTGCCTTGTGTGGAAGTAGAACTTTAACAAAAACAAAACAGTTTAAGTTTAGTACAGACAAGCCTTAAGCTGATAATAGTTCTTCTTATTCATATATCGTTCTTTCCCCTTGCGGTCTCCTAGAGGGCCGTATCCGTCCTTCCCTTGTCGTAAGAGGCGACTAATATGGGTTGCGAGATCCTTCTCTTTCTCCCAACTTTCTCTGAAGCCAAGGCTCCTTCTTATCTTTTGCTTGGTTCCTCGTTATCTTCCGTCTTCCCTTTCTGTCTTCTTTTTTCAAACCCGTTCGGGGGTTTTCCTTTTTTTTGGTGTGCACACTTGAGATTCAAGAGTGTTCTTCATGGGCAAAGGGGCTGATTTGTGCCTCACGCTGCCGCTTGAACTCATTGGAGCGTCATTAGAAACCAGCCCATTCGGGCCCGATACCGAACCGCCTATTGCTGCACGATGCGCTGGCTTAAACTTTTATGGACTCATCAACTTCAGCAAGCCTCTTAGCAAGAGATCAGAAATGGCAGCGTTTCAGAGGGAAAGGCGTGTGTCTAGTTCACCCCCTCTGATAACGAAAAAGCACCGTTGGTGACTTCATTGAAGAAGGGGTCTGACCACCACTGGTACCAGCCTTCATGTTTAGTGAAGAGATTTCGGAGGTACCCCTTACCCCTTCATAGCAGTTAGGGTTCCTAGGGAGGAGGTGGTGCTTCTGCGTCAGGAATATCTTTACTTAGAAAGAAGCATCGAAACCCCACTCCGAAACATGGAGAAGACAATAAAAGCAATGCTGGGCACCTTTGGAACCCAGAAAGGTGTTAACCAAGTGGTTTCGTCTTCGCCTGCTAGACAGTGAGAGAGGTGGCCATGGAGAAAATTGCAAAGAAGATTGCGTACCTGCCAGACGACAGGGTGGAACCTTTCTAGAAACGCAGGAAGCCTTCAAAATAGAATAGTCCTCCAAAAAGTGAAGCGGTCGTCGAGACACCTAAGCCTAAAGTTGAGTCTAAGACAACCCAGACAGACTTATCGTCTGCTGCGCTCATATCCTTCTTCAACAAAGCGTCAACAGCCACAGGAAAGACAGGGAAGCTGGACCAGGCAACTGATTCAGCAAGTTCAACCTTTGGTAAACTGAAGGTGCGGGAAGGTGGTTTGTTACCTCACCCTCTTTCTGACAGGTCAGGGATTTTTTTCAGTTGTACCTGTGTGATGGGCAAAGCATGACTGCATCTACTGCCCGGACCCTCCCATCGATGAGACTATATACATCGATGGACACTCCCGACGACGTGGTACACACTTTCTCCCGCTGCCAGCATTGGGAAAGGATCCACCTGGAGGATGCAGTGGAGTAGGAACATAAAAGAATTGAATGTGAGCTCTGAGGGCTTAGATCACACAATGACCTAACCTAAAGTAATGAGACAAACAATTCCATGTGTGTATCCAACTGGGTAGAGGGTTTTTTTAGTGTGTAGTGTCAATTCAGGAGTCTCACGCAACAGGCCTGCCTCCTGAGTGTGTAAAAGCATTTTTCCTGTTCTTCCAAAAAATCCTACTATATTGTTCTTATTTATGTCAGTTGTACTGTTCGAAAAAATATTTTTTGAAAAAATTCTGTCGATATGCATTATTTGACAATTGAACTGAACGATTCCAGATTAAATACTTTACTGTCAGATGGTTCGCTAAGTCTGGCTTCAATGAATTTGGTGAACAAGTAATATTTGTAATAGCCCGCTAACTGAATAAAAAATACAATCCTATACTCTTATATGAGCAATGTCTGCTTGTATGTAAGCTTATATGTATGCTTGCACAAATATCTCGAATACGGCTTCGAAGATTTCCTTCAAATGTTGTAAATAGTATACTTCTAGCCTAAAAAGGCGTTTAATGCAGTTAAAACTGCCAACAAAATCTAATTACGTAAAAGAATTAAATTGAAAGTCAAAATTTTATTATTGGCCTAAAGGGTGGCCAAGTAACCATGTTGGCTGAACAAAAAAACAAGGAAAAGGTAAACAAAAAACTTGTAACATGTGTTTACAACAAGCCATCCACAGTATACTATCAGATTACAAAATACAGTACAAAGGGGAAAAATCAGATGTAACTATTAAGCGAAGATTTCACTGAAGATAACTCTATATATAGGTATAATGGAAATAAACTACCTAAAGCCATGGTTCGGTCCCCAGGTACTATTGTTATTGAGGAGAATGTATTAAGTATAAATCAATCTCATAAAAACAAGTTTCTGGACGGTTCGATTAAGACTTTTATCAGTACGATTGACCAAACCTTTAACTGAACCAAGCTCGGTCACCATGTACACTTGTACTCTAAAATGAGGAAGGATTTGCTTGCTTGTTTGCCCGCTTGAATTCGTCGAAACAGCACCAACGAGTGGCTTAATGTGTTTTTACAAGTTATTGCCAAAGGGATGACGTCGGACAACAGCTAGTTGGTAGTATCATTGTAGGATTAATGTTTAGATTAACGGCAGTATCCGCCCTGAATACACTATGACAATTAATGCTTGTAATTATCGTCAACGATGAATAAATGTCAATTATTAAATATTTGGTTGCAGGGTAGAGCACGTGCTAACATCTATATCCAGACCACCAGAGGAGATCGCAAGGTACACCATGATCAAGCACCAGAAACGCAGACCTCTAGCGTGGAAGGTACGAGTCAAACTGCTACGGACCTCCTGGAGGCGCTACAGACTGGACGGGCTCAACACTGTGCAGTTCTCCTTGCTCAGCATCACAGAGCATGCGTTGTACACGCGGCTGATGATAGACGTGGGTCATCCGCCACAGAACATCCGCGCGTTGCAACAACAACAGGACAGTGAGGACAGACGTACCACGGCACCTGGGAGTTAGTAGAGACAGAACTACTGCACGGACGAATAGGATTTAGGGTGAAGATCATTTAACAGCAAGTCGGGCTTCTAGTGAAACATGAGACAATTTATCTTCCGCTCTAAAGTGATAACTTAAGAGATTACGAACTACATTTTTTGCATCATAACGCCATGAATACAATTTCACCGAGGACGTGCAAGTTGGGCCAAAGGGGACTGTTTAAAATTGTGTGCTCCTGGCAAGAAACAGGGTCAAAGACTACAGATTTTCTTGATTAGCCTTTATTATATGTATTCCAGCAGAACATGACATAAGTGATTCCATACATACCAGCTATCTGTTTTCGTGTTAACAAGAATGTTAATCATCAAATTCCAAGTGTCGAGTGTGTCATGTACCATCTTGTGTGAGAGATGGTAAGTTCCAGCTGGTTTATTGTAAATAGCCCAAAACGACCACGAGGGACTACAGTGTTGTCTCAACTATCAGTAGACGATAGATTGAGAAGTCAGACATTTTAATATTTTAAAAGTGTTGTAAGGAGTTTAGTGATGTAGATATGTTGTACATGCTGTCCGATTTGACAATTTTTACTTAAATACAATGTGTCCAATTCGTATTGTAACAGGTGTGTAGCATACAAGAGCAAGCCACTTTTATTCAACCATAACGGGTCAAATAAAAGTGACTTGATCTTTTATGACTCATTCCAGTATGCATTGAAATGTCAAAAGTCAAATACTCAAGGGACAAGGAGTAACTTTATCTGTTAACACTTAAAGTTTATTTTTTTCTTAATGGAAGTGGAAAGGAACGTTTTATAGGGAATCCAACTTGTATGACAAGTTGTACCACAAATAGAATCTATAGTTTTAAAATTGCAACTTAATATAATTTTAAAGCTTTGCCTTTTGGTGAACTTCCCATTCAGGAAACATCAGAAAATGTCCCGTGTAGAAGATAAGCTACTGCCGTAGGACATTAAGGCATAGACCAGGGACCGCTTGAGCTTTTCGTTTTGATGTCCCCAGAGGCCAAAACTCCATCCGTGCAAACTCATATGCAGAGTGTCCCGTAAGTAAACAGCCAAACTCTGGGGAAATTGGCTGATTTTATGAAAAGATTTCATAAACACTTATATTTAGCATTTTAACTGTCCAATCAAATGACTGCGAGTTCAAAAAGATCGAATAACATATCGCTAAAACATAATTATTTCTTTTCAAATGCCATTTTGAAGAGTTGTAAAATAAGGCAGAATGAGCTTGTTCCACCAAGCAAACGAGTTCACGAAGCAGCATGATCGGACTATGGAACGAAGATTTCAAGAGGTTTTATACGGTAAAAATTAGGGTTTCCCATTTCTTACCCCCGACATTTAAAATTAAAATAGTAAATTTTAATTTGATTTAATTTAAAATTCCCATGTTATAATTATTGGGACAATGTTTGTAGTTTGCTTGTTATGGATTTTTTTACCAAATTTATTTATTTCATATCAAGCTATCGAATGTATAGCCTAACATTTCTTGTAGCAGCAAACCAAACTAGGCCTAAATGCATTAAATCTAATGTTATTAAAATTGGAAATTTCTGATATGTTTAAGAAAATAGTTTAGTAAAAATCTGACTAATCATGGTAAAAATCTGACTAATCATGGTAAAAATCTGACTAATCATAGTGAAAATCTTACTAATTATAGTTAAAATCAGGCAAATGGACATTCACTTAGCCTGCAGGTTTTATTTTCAGCTGCGACGGGGTATTTTCATACTATACAAGGCGCAGTTTAATTAAAATAAAAATTATTTTCCTACTTCATGAAATAGCAACCAATTAGCTCACAGCAACAGAAACTCTTGTGCCGATTTGCATTCTATTTTCAAAATGTAAAACAACCAGACAATTGTTGTTGTATTGATGTCTGGTTTAAACCTAATCTTTTTTACCGTAACACAAGTATAGAGTTGTTTGGTATGTTAGGAGGAGGAACGTAGGTGTGTATTTGAACGAATAAATCAACTGATTGTTTCCAGGGAAGTCAAACCGTACAAAACCTCACTAATTTCGACTATCCTTTTATTTTCAGGTTTTAAAATTATATTCATCCGTGGAATATAAAAAAAGATATTACAATTGAATTAGTGTGACAACTATTTGTAAATAGTGTAAGTTAGGTATATTATATTTATTGGTTTGTGTTTCAATACAAATGTAGGCTGCTGAATGGATTTCATTCAACAAGCATAGCTCAACAAATATTCATCAAGGTGATTGAATAAGAGGTTGCACGTTTTAGTTTTAACTTTGCAACTTACACACAATTTGTTCTATAGCTTTAACTACAACAGTAAAACTGAAATCAAATTTTAAGATAATTTTTATATTCGGTCGAACACCATTACTTCTCCACCACATTTTATTGTTTCTCTTTTTACCTTATACTATAAAATTCTGATCAGTTAGGTAAGATTGGGTATGTGAATGCAATAGTAATTGAGCGCCAACAATGAAGGGAAGGGGAATGGTGCCCCCCTCCCCTGGATCAGAACAGATAAAATGTGATGTCATTTTCGATAACACACAGAAAAGTTTATGTTCATCAGTTTTTGTATGCGAATTTCTTTAATCATTAAAACTTATTTGAGCGCTACATTTAAAAATATATTCCCGGGAAAAAACTATTCGGGGATTGGCCCCCTAACCCCTTTTCCCATGCATCCCACAGACCTCCATACAATTTTCGGACAATGTCATTTGTATTATGTTAGATTAGATTAGTTATTCTAAAGCGAGATAGAATATTTGTTCATGGGCTCTTTTTATCCTAATCAACGGTATTTTTTGTGTCGCTAATCGCAATACTTTTCATTGTAGTTACATATTCTCTTTATTAGATAATATACCTTTTGATTGTAATAGTTAACAGCCCAAGTGGTAAGAATGGCATCGGGGAAAAGATAGGTGAATAAAATACGATAGTGATAATGCATTAACAGAAATAATCATATTTTTTCAAATGCATTAACCAACCATTAACCATTATCATAATGTATCTCATATTGACTCTCAGGTGGCATTGGCTACTTTATACAGTTTTCTTCTCCAGGATCAGTATTGTCATAACACTATTTTAACAATATGTAATACTGTTTGAATCAGTTCATTTTTAATAGTTGGGAATAACTTAGAATGATTAGTTTATAACAAAGTGCCAAAATGTATTTTATAGTAGTTTATATACATTCAAACTTATTTACTCTGTCAAATGTAATATATGTTTATAAATAAACCTGATTTATAAAAGATTTGTTGAGTTTAATTGCCATATGCCTATCATTTCTTATATATTTTTTAATTGCTAAAATGTTTTATGACTGAGTACTTGATAGTTGATAGTTGAGTAGTTGGTTGAGTAGTTTGAGTTATGACAAAGATTCGATCAAGTAATTGAGTTTTTTGAGCGAAGCTCTTAGGCTATATAACACTTCTGCTTTTGTTTTAAAACACTACGGCTGGAGCGATCTGCATTAAATTTAGCACAGTCATACAGTAACCAACTATGGGAAGGTATAAATCTTAAATGGTACAATTCCGATAACAGGACTTTTCTTTGCGTTAATTTAAACTTGAAGAAATTTTACATTGACCTTATGGGTTTATTGGTCGCCATGCCATTACTTGCAAGATAACGATAAAAGATAAACAAAAGAGTTGACACATGTATTTCAACAAATCACAAATACAGAACCAAAGGGAGGAACATTCAGATGAATACAGTTGAGCATAATTTACTACAAATTAATTGAATAACCAATTAATTAGGCTAAGGCATCATTGACTTTAGCAACTGGAAATATGAATTATTCCTATTATACTATTATATTATTATACAATTGACTTTGGATAATGCAAGTAGACATTCCATTAATTTACGTGAAACAGATGTAGCATTGACTTTGGAAAAGTAATGGGGTAATATGTTTGTTCCGCTCGATATAGCAAGCAGACAACTGCTTTGGGACACCAAGTTATAAAATGTTATCAATACTATTCATGGTCATTCGTATTAAATTATCTGTAGTTAATGTAGTAATCGAAAAGGGATAAACGGCCGCCGGCGGCGCCGCTGAACAGCTGGAATGTTCACACGACAATGTTCCCAGCTGTACAGGGTGAACCCATCATTGATATTTCAGAAACTATTAGATAGAGAAAATATTAAATGGGGAACTTCAATTATTTTTTCATGGAACACCTGTATTTCATGATTTTAGAATGTAAATACAGTTTTTTTCTAATTTTTATTCTTTACATTTTTTCTCTAAAGCTGCTCTTAATAGGAGTTACAGCGTGTAACATTTTTGGAAAAAGTACCTTATTTCGTACATTCTGCATCCTGTAGCTCCTAAACGAGTAAGTTTGGGGAGAAATGTAAAGAATTAATTAGTCTTAAAGTTGAATCTAGACATTCTTAGACGATTATTAAATACTGGAAGATTCATATGAAATTTCAAAGTTATCCGTCACTTTGGGCGGCCTTTTTTAAACGGTTACATTCACTTACATTTACCTTTTTAGAATTTAGATGTAATTTTAAGACTAATTTATCCTTTGCATTTCCACTCTCTAAACCTACTCGTTTAGGAGCTACAGGATACAGAATATACGAAATAAACGGTATCAGCATTCTGACACATACTTTCTCCCATAAGATTGTCAACAACCTTTCTCATGAGTAAGCGGTGAGAGTAAATATACGGAAATGGGTTTTGTACAATTTTCTTCAGAATTTAAAGGACTATAACATACTAATTTTTTATCAAAATTGTTCTAGCCAATTTTGGGAAAATCCGATTTTCCGTTATTTTATGGGGATTTTTATGGGAAAATAACATAATTTACCATAACTTTTGAACCGTGATTTGTACAGAAATGGGATTTGTATCATTTTTTTCAGAATTTAAAGGGCTACAACATACTAAATTTTTATCAAAATCGTTCGGGCCATTTTTGAGAAAATCCGATTTTTCCAGTTTTTTATGGGGTTTTATGAGAAAATCCTCATAAAAAATCAAAATTAAAAAAACGCCTGGAGATACCACGGATTAGAACCTTCATACCAAATTTCATTGAAATCGGACCACAGGTGTAGTCCCTAGCTCTGTACACATCCAGACACACAGACACACACACAGACATCACTTCAAAAACCACTTTTTGGGTCCAGCGGGACCCAAAACGAATATATCCACTCAAACTCGAAAATTTTGACGAAAAAAAGGCACTCCTTAAGGTAACTCCTAAAATAGTAACTTTAGAGAAAAAAATACCGAAAGTAAAAGCTTTTTAAAGTTGCATTTACATTCTACAATCATCATAGAATAAAAGGTTCCCCATGATAAATTTTAAAGCTACCCGCCATATATTGGAAAATAGCAGCCATTTTTGAAAAAAGTGGAATCACATTTTTTATGTCTTGATGCACTATTTAATGTTTGCTCTAAATCTAATAGTATTAGTTTCTGAGATATCAATGGTGGCACATTTAAGTTGTTCACCCTGTATAACTAAACTGTAAAAGACAACAATGCTAAATACTTTTTTCAATACTTTTTAATACTTTCTTATGAAATGGCCACCATACAAAGTAGGTATTTTAAGCTAAGTATGAATGGAGATGAGTGTAGGATGAGTGGCACGATCTTGTAGTCTTGTTAGTGACTAAGGCCGACATTCCTTAGACACAGCTGTTAATTAATAGCCCATACAGCTAATGGCAATAGGAACCTACAGTTTATAGTGGAATCCGAACCACATTTTTGCCTTGGTATATACGAATTGGTCTAATTATCAGGATAGTACTGCGGATAGTCGTAGTACTCTCTCGTGCGGACGTTAATCCACACCATGGAGTATCGCATCCACAGTGCATGCCTATCCACAATTCGTGACCTCCTAGTAGCTGGATTACAGAACGACGACACCCGTCCCAGTCACATCAACTGAAGGATCTGCTCGAAGAAAAGGAATCAGGGCTGCCATCATGTGAGCTTGTGTTGTCCCTAAGAAACTACCCTAGGAACCCTAGGAACTTGTTTTGAAGTGAAACTAAGAAGTACTTGTGATTTGGATTGCGTGTTTAATTAATCTATGTATGAGCTAACATTTCACACATTAGGCACATTTGGTATTCTTATTTCAAAAGTCGTTAGGTACCTACTTAATTAAAGGAGTTAAAACCTTTTTAATTATGGTTGATTAGGTACAAGATTAATTTACGCAACGATTGCGTAAAGATAGTTTCAACGACACGAGTAGAACATTTAAGGTACGAGCCTTGGCTAGTGCCTTAAAAACTTCTACGAGTGTCGTTAAAAGTATTTACATGAGTTGCGTACACTACTTTACCTACGACAGTGTTTTAATTACTAAAAATCACTACTCATAACTTCTAAGAGAGGTTATGTTTTCGTTTATAACCTCTCATTGCCACGTCAGTGATGCAACGAAACACACTAATTGCACCAATCAACAATTAAATTGGCCTGAACAGCTGATTAGTTGAAGTTCGAATCATTACGATTTTAGATCTTCTCTTTCAACCCTTGAACCTCATTACCCGTGTTGTTACATGGCCGCCTTTAACTCCAGGCCGCGGCCTTCGAAGTGGCAACGACGCAAGTAGTGTTGTAATAGCTGTTATTTTTGGAAGCAGCTAATGGTATTTGTGTATTTACGAAAGATTGGTTACTGGACTATGACAATATTGACTCCGCTTAAAATGTACAGATATAGATTTTAACTCATATTGTTTCGGTTTTCAATTCTGTATGTTTTATTTTCAATATTTTAATATTTGATTTTATGAAAATGTTCACAAATTTAAATGTAAATCAATAAAGTGCGAATTAATGAGCCGATGTCACCTGTCTGCCACGTTATCTTATGGGACGTCTGTCAAAAACAACACCACTTGCGACGTTGCCAATTCTACCAGGTCACGGCCATAAGGTGGCCGTGGTTGTTATGAGGCCTATTATGCAGTTATGAAAGTAAACCATGCTGTTGTTATGAGATACTTTTCAATTCTGAGAACTGAACTGAAACGGCTACTTTAAAAAACGGCCGTAGATAAAATAGTTTTATGCTTTTTCCGAGATGCTTTTGACATACCTATTTGTAAAGTGTAATGTCTTTCTATTTTCAAAGCACCACACAGGACTAGCCTATGATTCTTTGTCAAGAGTTTAGATTACATTCTAATAATACACAGAAAATGCGATAGGCTGTCTTGTGTTGCATCATAGCAAAAAGGCAAGCTTTTCTCTCCATGCATTCCTTGCAAGCAATTGAATACTGTAATCTTTCCACAGTAAGTGGAGGGTTTTATTAATCAGCTTAACGGTTTTACTAATTTTCATAAAATATAAAAAGTATGATCGTCAGAAGAAAGACTAATCTATTTAATAAATCTAGCAATTTATTGGATGATATGAGAGAAAAAATAGAGAAATAGTTGATTTCGGTAGTTTAAAAAGTCTTTGACTTTTTATTTGAAAGTTAAATGTGTGATAGATTTAAAATGTAATCTTTGAAACAAATTACTTTATTTTTAATAAACTACCTTCTGCAAATTCAATTTAATTTGACGCATATAAAGTTATTTTGAATTGTTTTATATATGAATTGGGTAGTTAGCTGGGGTTGTGAGATGACCATTTCATTCACACATATACGATGCCAGACAATATTTTTAGATTGTATTAACCAAAGTTTGAAGTCCATCCTATATCTTAGATAAAATTTTATTCGTTTGAACATCGCTTTTAGTATTCTTAAATTATTGTTTTAAAAATTGGTTTACTGGTACATAAAATTTAAAAATATACTAGCCGACCCGTGCTCGTGCAAAGCATTCGCACTGAATCCTTCTCAAATCCAACTCATTGCAGTACACAACATACAGTTAATACTTTAAAAAACTTAAACGCTTTGACTGTGATAAACCTTTATATTTATAATGTATTGTTATCTAGTTTTAAGCTGCATGAAACCTTTGCTCTAAGGGGTGATTTTCATTGCTTTGACACTAGGAAAAGAGAAAACCTTGACATTCCTTTTACAAGACTGGAAAAGATTAAAAGAAGCCATATTATTATGGGTAGAAAGTTGTGAAATAAACTATCGCCAAGAATAATTCAACTCCCTTACAATAGTTTTGAGAATGCAATTTATGAATGGCTGTCAGAAACCCCCTGTATAAGATTGATGATTTTTTTTCTTTACA